AAGAGCCATGTCTTGAGGGCGCGACGGAAGGTAAGGAGATCCGGAATTATCCGAATCTCGGGGGGTAGTTCATTCCAGAGGGTAGGGGCACCCACAGAGAAGGCCCTCCCCCTGGGGGTCGCCAGCCGACACTGCTTGGCCGACGGCACCCTGAGGAGACCCACTCTGTGGGAGCGTACCGGTCTGTGGGAAGGAATCTTTTGCTTACTTAGCTTTCTTCCTCTCTCTTGTTCTTTTTTCTTGTTCTTTTTCGACCCTTTATTTCCTGAGATTTTCCCCATGTCTAATTTCTGACAGAACTTTTATTTTAACTGGTACTGGAGAACCATCAACCATCATCAGTGTAGTTTTGTGGAAAGTCTAAGTTTTGAAGACCTACTTCACCTTGTTTTCAAAATTTTTAAAGTTAGTGCTTCCATTCTCCATTCCATGCTAAAAATCAAACAAATTGTACCTTTGTTCTACTTTTTTTTCCAATGGAGTATTGCTATAATATAGAAGTGTCCTTTTTGTTACAGAAAAATAATTGCAATATCACACTATCAATACAACAAATATGTTTAAGATTTCAAGGACAGATTATTTTTTTTTCAAGCTATCTCCAAGCATATGAGTAAACATGGCATATAAGCCATTCAATCATTATCACAGATTAATAGATCTCCATTTTTGCAATAATAGTAAGTATTGAGTTGATGGCCAGTTTACAGTTTATAGGGCTTCATATTAGCATATACCTGATTGAAACATTTATGTCAGGAATGCGAGTACCAGTGACGTATCTAATTTTTCTAGGAAATATCTTCATATTTTATATTTTTTTATATTTTTGTATTTTGAAACAATTATGGTAAATATATCTAAGCAGTGGACGATTAAAAATATTAGTTCTTACTAACAATCAGTGAAAGGTACACAGACTTCAGTTTCACTAAGACTTGTCATACATGAGTCACCAACAGTCTCTTCCTTTAAGTGCAATAATGCTACTGTTGTATGAAGGTTTTCAGCTGCAACAAAAGCAAATATTTAGATGTTTATTGTGTCTACAAAGTAAACAATAACTTTTATATCACTTATAATAAAAGAGTAGAAAGAAGGCGAATGAGATTTTTATTGTGGTCAATGATCAGATTAACCAATTAGATACATTATATAGATTATATATAATATGTCAAAAATTAGCTACACTTAAGGAAATAAAATTGTTTGAATCTGGAAGTAAAAAAATAATGATGCAAAACTGATCAGACTGACCAGGATATTTAATTAGTGGGGTTAACAGCTCAGAGCAAGTGTCAATGTAAAACGGATAGTATAATAAATCATATTCAGTGGGTACAATTACTACTTCACTGCATGAGTCAAATCTAAATGTAAATGGGATGACCAATAATGGAAGTATGTTTAATTGTGCCAAGGTGTCTTCTTAGTTTGGGCATAGCAATTTGGTTCAGCTATCTAGTTGGTCTAAAAGGGTCCAATCTAAGTCATTCATCAGGACCAGAATTTTAGTCTTCCAAGCTTTCAGGCACATGCTGGAACCCATGCTCAGGGAACTTCTCTCTCTCTCTCCAGAATGTGTGCACTCAGCTGTTCTATGCATAATATTTATGTGGTGCCTGCTGGTGTGTGACTTTTAGTTGTTAACTGGGGTGTTGATGGCCGGCTATTAAGTTATTGATTGTTGGTTCCTTGTGCTGCCATGCCCTTGGCTCTACGTATCTAGTAAGCTGGTGATAAATCAGCACTCCTACTGACTGACAAGGGGCCAATTTCCCAGGCTTCAATCATTTCCCTGGCTATTTTTGTCCCTGTCTGGCCAACAATCTTAGGAGCTGCGAAATTGAATATATGTCCTTATTCATTGCAATGTGAGGCTACCAATGAGTTGGGTCTTCTCATCTAATTGCTTGCTTGTGTTCTTGCAATCTGGCGCTTAGCTTCCTCCCCGTCTGTCCTACATAGTCACAGAGGCAATCCAGGCAGGGAATCCGGTAAATTACATTAGAAGTTTCTCCTACCTCCAAGCGATCTTTATAATGCATGATTTATAAGGGGTATAAGAACTACTTCAAAACTTCTCTTTGGGGAGGGAATCATGTAAGGTACAATCTTCATCACAATCCCATCACAGCAAATAAAGTTCAACTGACTTAGTCAGTGTATTTTTTTAAAAAAAATCTATTAAAATTTAGCCTTGTAATATTAACACGTCAAACATTAAACACCTAGAAATGTCTAAACATTCAAAGTTCCTAAAATATAAATAACACATTCAAAAAAGAGAGTGATAAGATGAATCTCTACTTGTTGACTAAACCAAGCCACCCTGTCTTCAGGAGGGAAAGCCTTGGAAACCATGACCATCCCCATAGGAAGGCTTCCTGTGCAATGACTGGAATGCAAGCTGTAGATTCCAGTAGGAACAACAAGATACTTTCTGATGAACTCTGAACTCACACAGTTTCATATCAAAATAGAAATATCCAAGTCATTTGAATGTACATTGTTAGGATTTGAGATCCTGAATCTAATTTGGCAGGTGTAAATATCAAAGACAGTCCTGATTCAAAGCAACTGCTTTCTAGGTTTACCTCCTATTAATCAGAATGTGGGGAGACAACATTACAAAACCAGGAGAGAATAGCATGCCTGTTTAGTTGAAGTAAATGTAATAATTAAAGTGGCTTAGAAATATTATTTTCTGTCATCTATAATTAAACAAGACTCTCAAGAAGCCTAATAATTTTCAGGTAATCAAAAGATGAATGTACAGTAGAACATTCTAGTCTTGCTGGGCTTGTAGGAGGTATGTGAAGTATGAAGGATAGACTATTTCTAGAAGCAAATAGAATGACAGACCACAATGTACAAATATTTTTAAAGCAGTTTACAAATATGAATAAATATTTTAGTCATCTAAAATATTGAGAGGTCCCTATGAAGATTATCCTAATTTATAATCTCAATATAAATGCAATCCAAAGGAAGAGAAATGCATCTTTTATTGATTAGGAAATGTCCTTGTCTAGCGGATGCATCACCAAGGATATAAGTTTGAGGAGAAAAAAGTTTAAATTCTTAGTTTGACTAAATCAGGTATCTCAAAGTTAATCTTGGGTTTCTTTGAGTATTATTTTCAGGTCCAAGGGCACAATAGTAAAATAATATTATTTTACTATCACATAAATAGACCTTTGTAGGTCTTAATTTGGAATATGTTCTTTCTCTTCTCTTTTTTTTTAGATACACAAATTCATAAGGCTTTTCAGTTCCCTTCAAGGGGTTCAAAAAGGGTCACAGGGCACATGGAGCCTATGGGTTCTGAATTTCAGACAGAAAGCCATGGAGAGCAATGCGGTAGTCAAAGCCTAAACTGGTTTCCCCAGCATAGGCCTAGAGTCACTTACAGAGTTTCCTAGTTAATAAAAAAATCCTTTTAAGAGTTCTATACAATAAGGTTTAAAGAAAACCATGCTATTTTCCATAGTGACTGTCTCATTCAGAACGAGACAGTCTGTGTTGACAGATTCCTCAGTGACTTTGGAAGTGCCCACTCAAAAAGTTAGTGAAGTTAGAAAGTTAGAATTACCTTGAATCTACTATGATCACAGTTGGGGAGAATTCTGAGTGCCTGCTTTCAAACTTTTTAAACCTGAAATTAATTAAAATACTAAGAAGTGTGACAGAGGGGAGGAGATGTCCTTGGAAAGAATACTTTTTATGTAGACACAGACTTACCTTCTTTAAGAGCTGCCGCCAGAAGTGAAGCCACTTGAGGAGTTTCTCCAGAGTCCGGTTTAATAAGTAGATGTGGTTCTGCATGAACTTCTTCAAAACCACTCATATTTCCAAGCTTTGCATAGATATTAAGCTTATCTTCTAAGTAGTTACAGATCTGCTGGTCTTGATTATTCAAGAGTACTATACCAAAAAAATCATGCACTATTAAGATTAAAAGCTATGGTGATTGTAATTATTACTTATTTATGCTGGAACCATAATTATCCACATTATTATTTTTTCATTTTAAAATTTGGTATTTTTATTATGAATTGCATGCAATCCCACCTAGTGAAGCCACCACATACACATTATAGTTACTTCACAATGAGGAAACAGCGCTGAGTAGGAAATCCAAATGCACAGACGTGTTTATAAAAAATGTCTAATGGAGGAAGGGACATTTTCTTAAGATTATGTCCACTCTAATGGATGAACATATTAGTTTTAAAGTGCCCCAAAACATTACACTATACCTTGACATTTTTGAATTTTTGCCGCTCTGGCTTCAGTTATTTTTCGGTCTTCATCAGAATCACCTATTTTGCCTTCTTCTTCCGGACAACTTCAATGATTCCATATAAACAAAACAGATTCAAGCAATCTTATCTTTTTTCATAAGACATTATATACAAGAATCAATTTGGAAATGTCAACTTCAGTCATACTAATTTAATAGACTTAATATAAATGGGTTATTGTAGAGATATTTATAATTTGATGAGGTTAGCAGATATATATTCTTTCCACATTTTGTCCACTGATTAAGAAATATTGAACAGAAATAAAGATTGCATTTAAGCAGTTAGCTACCATCTACTTTAAAAAGCAGGCTGGACATGACATCATAAACGACATGCTTACTAATGACACTAAACTGCAACAAAGATGGTGCCTTAGTATTCCTGTCCTCCCTAGAAGAACAGTTTCTTTGCAAGTCGGATCCCAATTCATACTGCCATTTAGCTATCCCAAATAGCCTGACCTGGGAAGACATATGACTTTATGACAGCAAGAAGTAATATGAGTCCATTAGATCAAATCTCAGTGGATATATCTTCAATTTTTTTACTTATTTCCAAGATTTGCCATATGATATTTTGGTACGATGCAGTTTACAAGCATTTCTAAGGAAAATTTTTACATTAAAATAAAGAAAAAGTTAGCAAGCGATAACCAGTGTTTCAGCATGTACCTTTCCACTGCCTCTTGAATCTGCCTCATCCAGTGACTGCGTTCCTCTTTGGAACTAGTATGAATTTCATACATCTCAGGTCCTGTGGAGGATGCACTGATCAAAAACATCCCTCTCTCTTCATTGGCTACCTCTCTGACAATAAGTTTCTGAAGAGCTATAACAGCAGGCTTCTGGTCCTATGCAAAAGAAATTGCAAATAACAGTATATTCCGAATAAAAGCATCTGAGTGACCATCTAAATTAAATCATTTCAGTGTAACACTAAGTCAGCTATTTCTGGAAGATTATTTTATTGTTGTATTTTATTTTATTATTATTTTTGCAAACAAAAGTAAATAATGTGAGAAAGAGCAAGCTTGTTCTTTTCCCTATAACAGCATTCAAAATATATACAAAGCATTATCCCTCATGTCAGGAGAAATCCAGCCTGATCAGGATGTATCAATTCAGTTAGAAATGTATTACTCTTTTTGCAAATCTTGAAAAGTTTGTTATGTGCATTAAGTAACAAAATAGGTCTGTATGACTCTGAAACAGTCTGTAATGTTCCTCACTGAATAACACAGAAATTAAAGCAGGAGGATGAAAATGCTTGACACTGTTAAATCTCATTCATTACCCAAGTTAATGGCTTAATCAGAATTTCATAAAATGTCTTATAATACATAAAAAGTCCACCTGGTCCTGGTTATTGAATTTTAACATCTATATTGCTCCTTTTGCTTGTTCTTCAATAATTGGTTTATTAGGAGCTTTCTTTTGTTCTTCTAAACACTTTCTAAGGTGCATTGTGTCTAAATATCCCTCAGTCTGTACTGCATTTAAAATCTATCCATTATATTATCTGGAATAATGCTTAACATGTATGGGTTTGTTACCTCCTACATACTGCAATATATAAGCTGCAATTTGAGGAAAGTTACAGGTTAACCTCAACTTATGACTATCAACTGTTCAAATTTATGAAAGATACCCCCAAAAGCTTCTTATGACTTGGTTTTACAATTAGTGTCATGCAGCACCATCCAGTCATTTGAACAAAATTCAGGTGCTTGGCAATCTGCCCGTCCACAAAACCAACTTCAGGAATGCTACAGCAGCCCCCACTATTTAGTAAAGAGTGTAATTATATTTTGCCCAACCTGCTATGAAATCATTAGTATGAATCATTAAGGCAATTTTCAAATTCATTTATCATTTTAGAAATTTAAGAAAATCTGCTACTAAATATCTATTTTCTTTCAATGACTCGAACAGAAATTTGTCCAAATTTACACACACTCAAGATTGCCATCTAAAAGGCTTGATTTTGACTGAATAAGATCCCAACATTTATTACTTTTTATAAAAGACACAATTTCCAATTAAGATAATCCAACATTTTAAACATTTATACTTACAACAGATGCAAATATATACTTCTGATCTTTTTCTTGTAAAAACAGCATCACATCATTTAGAAGCAGAGCTAAAATATCTTTAAAAGAAAGAAAATTGCTATTACAGAACAATAGTTTCTATCATACCAAATAAATTGAATGAAAATAAATTCAGTTCTTTAAAAACATTCACATCACAGTACAACACACACAGATTCACTAGGTGCATTGATCAGGATAGGATATCCTATGAAAACATGTAATAAAATTGATGAGGTGGGTTCATTTCTCTCTGAGGCTCCAGACTGGATCTCAATGGTTTGTTTTCAATGAAATGACATGCATAGATTTACCACAAGCAATGTTTTGAAACAATACCAATTAATATAGCTATTAATATATTTCTTCACTTTAAGGAAGAATGTTTGATTTATATTTTATATCTAAATACAGGGAATCCTCATTTAGTGACTGCCTCATTTAGTGAGAATTTGCAGTTTCAACAATAAAAAAGTAACTTTACCATTCACGGTTATACTCAGTGATTACCGTTCTCGTAATTACAAGCTACACAGGTCGGCAAAGCAAAGGAAAGCTGAAGTAAAATCATAAGCTGTTGTGGCTTTGCCTAGCGACCACTTCCCTTAATGACAGACTTAGCAGTCCCAATTATGGTTGCTAAATGAGGATTACTTGTACCAGAATCAGGGTGATATAACTAGTTCATCTAGTTGCTGGACTACCTTCACTTACCTCAGTCTGTCTATCAAAATATTTACTTGGACCTTTTCCGAGATGTCCTTCAATATTCAAGGTGCACCAAGTGCAGAGGACATTTACTTCTCATCAGGAAGAAGTGATTCTTTTAGGTGCCCATCTACGTTAGCATCTTAATTTTAGAATGATTTTGAGTACATATTTCAGAGTTAACCTATGTACTTGATTTTATTGTCTTAGTTTTGTGCTTCTTTTTTTGTTACAGTGTACTTGTTAGGCTAATAAAATAAATTTAACTTGAAGATATAATTAACATTTGAACAAATTTAATGTTCTAATGTGTTTTCACACTATATTAGAAAACAGATTGCTAGTGTTGGGTATGTTACAATCAGATCTACTGATTTCTTACTTTTAAGACAGGAAATAAAGGATCAGACAAACTTAGCTCTGGGCAAAATTGGTGAGAAAAAATGCCAAGGCCATAAACTTAATCAACATATTGCTATCCTATCTGTAAGATATTTTTTTTCATATCTTTAGCAACTTATACATTTGTAACAAAAACTGACTTTCTTTAGAAAAGTACAGCACCACTGAAAATAAACAATGAATTTGAATTTCAATAACCTTTGAAACGTCCCGTCGCAGTCTTCCAGTAGACTAAGCCTTCATACAAAAGCGTCCTCTGTTTCTTGATCAAATCTTGTTTCCTGAAAACATGTCCATTTTTCAGTTTGGTATAGGTTTTGTTTTCAACTTTACTAAGAATCTCGAGCAACTTCTGTTTCTTTTCGTATTCACTGACTTGCAAATCAACTGCTGCAATCATATCCTTGATAAGGTTAAGGGCTCTACATAAATCTTGGTGTTCTTCAGTTCCTTCTGTATAAAAACAAAGAGGTGCATATCGTTAGCAAACCCTTCTCCTTAAATATTTAGAATGGAAAGAATCAAGATTATTTTCAAATCTGTTTTGTGAATGGTTCATGACTCATGGATTCTAAAATCAAAATACATGCTTTGCTGAAAAGTCATGTTAATATTCCTCATTTAGCAACTTTTATTGTTTAGAAGAATCAGCCATGGTGTTGCCACACTAATCTCCCAGTATTATCATGTGGAAGTAATGCTAAATTTGGTGCATTGTTCTGCTAGGGCAGGGGTCTGCAACCTCCCAGAATTCTGGGAGCTGAAGTCCACAAGTCTTAAGGTTGTCAAGGTTGCAGACGCCTGTGCCAGGGCCATGAGCTCTTAGAGCAGGGGTCTTCAAACTTGGCCTTTTTATGACTTGTGGACTTCAACTCCCAGAATTCCTCAGCCAGGCACGCCAATGGCAGATTCCTTCTCCCCTCCCTTGCGCTCTGTTCTCCACCTGTCCATCTTTTTTTAATCATATTGATCTATGGTTATCATATTGATATATTACTGTGTTCTATTTCATTGTTTATTTTATTTATTTTATTTCTGTTTACACTCTTTTCATTTCTTCCTTTTTTTTACTACTGTAAGCCGCCTAGAGAAGCCCCACAGCAAGATAGGTGGAAAATAAATTTAACAAATTAATAAATAACAAATATATAAAATAGATCTCCTTTTCATTTATAACAAAATAAGTTGTTTGCAAAATGAGCTATCTGAAAACATAAAAAGTATTACACATTTTTTTAAAATAAATATTTTTATAGGAAATTTTAAAAATAATGTTGATAATTTGATGTTAGTTAGCTAAGCACACCATAAGAATTATTCATGAAGCAGGTAGAAAATTATTGCTTACCTTTGGTGTACTGTAATATTCTTTCTACTAGAACTGGGTACTTTGTGATTCTTTGAGTGACTAGCAAAATGCATTCTGGGATTCCTCGACGTCGGGCCAAAAGATTACTGTTCCGCAGCTTTAAGAAGAGATTTAACTTTTAATATATAATCTTCAGGGTTGTTAGATATAAAATGTCACTTAGATTTTAAAGTCTCTCTGCTTGGGTGGTGGAAGAGAATCTTCTCTATATTTTATTTCTTGCTTCAATCCATCTGATATTAAGCTATTATTCATTTCATTTTGCCATGTTATATGGCTGATGCAGGAAAAAGACTGCATCAATATATCATATGGCAAAAAGAATTTTATAATAATTTTAAGTAAGTTATTTACAGTGCCAAAGTAAGTGGCATGGGATGGTAAAAAAAAGTAAAGATGGCTTTAATAGCAAGACTATCAAAAACCCATCTCTTTTGTATATTTAGCAATGCTGCACTCCCACACAAAGGGTTGGGCTTCAATTGTGCTGCTGTGATTTCCACTTTGACTTTTTTGCCTCCCCTCATGGATATTGCTGGTCCCCCCACTCCAATGAATCACAAAAGCCTGTAGGTGGTCTGAACATTCAGAGGAAACAATAAAAGAAATAAAATACTAACAAAGTACATTGATATATGTATATAAATTTTAAAAAGCCTTTATTTCCACTGTGGATCCCTCCCATTAGAATGGGATAGGTAATTTATTATTTTATTTGTAACAAATAAGCCAACAGCAAATAAGCCAATGCATGTAATTGTGTTTTTTTTTTTTTAAAAATATTCAAATAATCAGAAACACTGAAGTTCATTTTTTTTTAATTTCATAAGGCTTTAATTATAAGCCCTTTTTTGGAATGAAAATAATTGTGTCTATAATTATTTTTTTAAAAATAAAGACAACTTCTATAAAAGAGCTATGTGTTTATTTATTTGTTCATTTTATTCTCTTTGTACAATGCCCAACGTCCAATTCCTCTGCCTTAAAATGTTCAATGGCTTTTTTTACATTGGATGAAATTTAATGAGTTTTATCCACAACAGAATAAGATACTGTTATAGGAATAGATTTTCCCTTTCCTTAGACACTCACTCTCCACTTTGAAAATCTTAAGAAAAAATAAAAAATTAAGAAAACTGTTTTGTATAAATGGAAGCCTCTTATGTGACACAGGATATACTGGCTGGAGTTCTTACAATTCTGAAAGTCAGTCTTATCAGCCACATTGCACTAAAATTGAGCCTCCTTGTGGCATACTTAGGAAAACCATTTTTGAACCATTTATTAGAATTCTAAGCTAATGTGCTGTACCACCTCTCATGTTAACAGTTCTCATAAAGTAGATAAACATTTGTGCAACTGAGATAGATATTATCAACTTACTTTGATGAAGTTCTGGAATTTTTTGTTTTGCTGCAACTCTTTAAAAAGGCTAACTGCTTCTTTCTGGTGACTACAAAAATCTCCATAGATTGTCTTCATTTTTCTTGCATTCTCTTCCGAAAACTGAAAAATAGTAGAAGCTCAATAGAGTACTGGTAGAATTATCACTATGCTGCACAATGAATATGTAAGCAAACTGGTTCTCCCACTCACCAAATAGATTTCTTTCCCTTCATCACCAATCTATTTGGTACACTGAAAAAGCATTATGGACTGAGAGACGTCACACAGTTGCTAGAGAAAGGGAAGCATTGTCTATGTGATCTTAAATACCTTGAAAATGTTGGTAAAGGAAGGTTAAGGCCTTCCTCTTTCAGTGTTATCATCTGTTTAGGGGAGATGTGGTTGGACCAGGATCATAACAAATTCATATATATGTAGTCATTGGCTTACAAAGCAATTTGGGCCACAATTTCCATCACTAAGCAATGCAATAGTAAAGTGTAATATCACGTGACTTCATCCCTTAGGAATGGCAATCCTGGCAATTCCAGTTGTTGTCCTAATCCCAGGACCACACATGTCATTAAGTGGAAAAGGATGGGAGTTCCAATCAAACAGGTGAGAGATACAGGTGGACAAGGGTGTGCCTTAGGCTGGGTCCCGGAGTGCACATGGCTACTGCATGAAGTGTCACAAGCAGGCATTCTGAACCATGGGCACATGTATGAGTGCTGTAGTGGGAGGGGGTGCTGTGGACAAGCACTACAGTGTGTGGGCAGGCGAAAAAAGTGATGGAAGCAATTTCTGATTTCCTGCCAGTTTTCCTATGACTTTGCTTGTGGAATGTCAGCAGGAAATGTTGGAAATGATCATGTGACCATGCTGGACATCAAGTGCCTGCCTCATGATCACATAACTGCCGATCCACGGTGAAGACTGGTCATAAATCCCCATGGTTCAGCAACATTTTAACTTTGAACAATTGCTGAGCAAATGGTTTCCTTTACAATGACCATATCTTCAAAAACACTTTGTTGAAAGTATAATTCTATTCAGTGCTTTACCTGCTGCACAAGGACATCTCCAATTTTGCTGATCACAAAATTTTTGTCACTTCCGTCCTGACTTGAGAGCTGTCGCCTTTCCTTCATCCTACAGAAGAACTGCTGGTGAAGTTCTAGCAGCTCATCTAAGCAAGGGAATATTTTGTCCACTGTGCTGTGGTCCAGCTGTAGTTCTTCTTTCATTCCTTTTCTGAATATTTTGGACATGATGAACAGGGTATGGATGTGGTGCACTTCTGTTTGCATTAGTTCTACATTAGAAAACATAATATATATATTACAGTAGATTCTTTCTCTATATATTGATTTTTGCATATTGAAGATCCATTCCGAAATGAAGGAGGCTATCAGGACATTAGGGAACATCTAAGGTCTACAGAAGTATAAATGCATCTTTAACAAGAAAACAAACTGAAAAGAGGAGGTGGGGATTAAAGCCCATAGAATCTAAGTATACACTCAAAACAATGACAAAAAAAACATGGGAAGGAAAAACAGAATGTAGCACTGGGAAAAAAAAGTCATGGCTGTCTGCCTGTAATCCTAAACAAATGTGCTCTGCACTGTATCTTTATTCAGCATGTCCTAACATTCTCTCCAAATACTCTTATTAGATGAGGGCCAGTTTGGTTTAGTGGTTAAGGCACTTTGATGTTCGATTAATTTGATGTAGTGATTAAAGCACCAGGCTAGAAAAGACTGTGAGTTCTAGTCCTGCCTTAGTCATGAAAACCAGCCCAGTCATGTCACAGATGTTGTTGTTGTGGAGAAAATAAGAGGGGCAAGGAATATTAGGTATGTTCACTGCTTTGAGTTATTTATAAGAAATGATAAAAGTGGGATTAAAAAGTATTTAAGTTTTTTTTTAAAAAAAATTATATTAAGAATATTAAATAACAGTTTATCAGATTACTGCAGAACTGAGATCACATTAAATACAAATGGAGTATAGCTCCTCTCACTTTTTCAGAATGTTACAAAGACAAAAATAAAATAACAGTTCTAGACTAGTGCACATTTTTAATTTTATTTCACTACTGATTCCAGCATATATTTTAGATTACAATTCCTATTATCAAATCCTGCTGGCAGAATACAACACATCTAGTGAGCACCAAATTAAAGAAGGCTATTTTATATTTTCATGTCCAACCATCTATACTGAAACATAGAGGATACTATAGCAAACTAACCAAAGATTACATCTTGTCGCTTGATAACATGCTTTTCTTGTTGGTTACAAAACCAAGGCTCTACAACCAGACTCCAAGATTCTGCCTCAAATTCCAATGTATCAGTACTGAGGTCATTCCATAAAGAGGCATCAACATCATCTATAGCAAAAAAATAAAAAGTCATTCTTAAACATAAAAAAATAGGCAAGTTAAACTCAGATACCAATAAAAAAACTAAAATGTATTCCAGGATTGGTTTGTGTGCTGACTTTTAATACTCCCAAGGAGTACTAATGCATCAATGAATCTGGTGATATGGTTATCAATTTCTAATAATGTTTGCATCTGTGTATCTTTAATATAAAATCCATTTTTAAAAATGATAGCATTTAACGGGATGCACTTTACTTTAAAAATGGAGATCCCAAAATGAATAAGAGTGTTATATTTTATAAGGAAAAACTTAAGTGTAATTGAGTTTGCAAAAGGTTAATCCTATTAAGATAAGAGGGGAAGAATATGATAAACCCTCTCCAGTTTCACTACTCTTTGCCTTAAAATCTCTTTGGTGTTGCTTGGAAAGTTTTGCTGAGTAC